GTTCACTTGCGACCATGACGATGTCCGGTTAAGTGCGTTGCTCTCGACGGCGGCTCCGTCAAAAGTCACCCGGACAGTCCGCTGAGCTGTCAGCTGCACAACAAGATGATTTCCCGACGAATCGTGAACGCTGAGAACTGGCATGGGCAGTGCACCGGTGCCATCGCTAGCCGTGCGAAACGTGAATTGAAATAGGCGTGTGCTGGCTCCCGGTACCGCGTTGCTTAGCAACTTGTGATCCAGCGACGACCGTCCGGAAAAGCTAGCAACGAGTGGACTAGTTGTTGAGCTGCTGCTGCCTGCGATGATAAAGGAGGAAAAAGAACAAAGACGGCATACGATATTGCCAGCCTAACAAATTTCGTATCAAAGGAAATTCCTGAAGATGGGCCTTGACTGATTCTCTTTTTTTTCTTTCAGTGATCGGTGCAGCCCAGAGACCGTTTAGAGAGTCTTGTGAAGATGTATGGGTGGAGCAAAGGCAGTGAAATGAAAAATGAAAAAAATATGTCAAATTTCAAGAGTACGTCGCGCTAGAATGGGCCCATAACCTGTTACATCCTGTTTGTATGGTTGGGAAAGAACAGCTAGGCCCGAAAAGGCATGGGGGGGGGGGGGCATAACCTGTTAAAGCATGTTTGTGTGGTTGGGAAAGAACAGCTACAGTCCATTCAGAAAAAGATGGGCCCTGGCTCTGGCGAGCTCCCGTATTTGGCGATTTTTCGTGATTTCATTGTACACAGTGCAGTGCTGCGAAATTTGAACTTTGAAAAAGAGTTCAAAAAGGGTACCTGAACTGGGGTTCGAACCCCACAATGCACTGTTGCAGGCACGGTCAAACGGCCTGGATTTTGATGGTTTTTTCCAATTCAATGCTTCTGGGGCAAAACCTGACCGATATCCTATTCTTGTTATGGCTTGCTTTTTGGACAAATAGACTTCAGAAACATAATTGGAAGAGGATTCCATAGGGGATTGCAGAAAAAAATTCTAAAAAAACTCAAAGTTTGACCCATTTATGGCCAAAAGCTAGAAGTCCATCTTTTTCTGAATGGACTGTAGGTCCGTAAAGGCATGGAGGGAGGAGGGGTTCTTGTCCACACAAGTAGGGGAATCCCCTCAAGCCCATCGAGCTGGGGGGGGGGGGGGGGAGGGGAGGGGGGGGGGGAGAGATATCCCTACAATTGCAGACACACAAGCAGGAAGGCAACGGGGCAATCTCATTGGTTCAGTGTACAGCTGCTGCATAAACAACACACCAAGTATCCCGTGTACTACTCCACATTTGATCAGCCAGTCCAATCAGCCAGTTCACCCCCCTTACTTTCCTGCTGTGGAATGTCTCAGTTCTCCCTGTCAGTCTGGTGCTACCTAAGTCCTTGTGCACGTCAGACTGTTCAAAACCCTGGTTTAGTTGGTGGACTCTTAAAGGGGAAGTCCGGTGAAAAATTTAAATTTCAGGGTCGGTAGAGTTTCGGGCGCTGAGTCGAATGGTGTTGGTCCCACGTGTCTCCGACAAAGCGTTCTCGAGATATTTCCGTTTGAAAAACTGAGTTTCGGGGGCTGCGCCATGACGTCATGCGGCCGCGCCACACCCTCTGCAACGTCATAGCGTGCAGCTAGGTCAAAAGGAGTGCGTGAAAGCAATAGTGTCAGTGCTATTTCAAATGATTTGGCGACTGATAGTTTGGTGCAAGCGACCCCGAAGACCTGTAACTCCTTGTGAGAGTGAGGATGCAGCCATGGCTGACCTTCATGAGTTCGGTCTGGGGCTGAGAACCTCGGCAGCTGAAGAAATGGCCACGCGGGCCGGTCAAGAGTGAGCGCTACTGAGTTTCCGACTGATGAAGAAGCAGCAGCTATTGCAGACGAGGCTGATCAGATCGCTGGAGAGCAGGGTCGCCAAAATGGAGAAGAGTGATGCGAGTGCTCTAAATGTTGTTCCATACCGATTAGATTCGCTTAGACTCCAGTAGCCTGCCACATGGTGATGTTTTGGTGCGAACTTGGAATATTTCGGACTACTCAATTGGAGAACAGTGCAGGCTCTTTGAACCACGGGCACGACTCTTCGCTCGCAACGCTATGGAATCTGAAAGTTCTAGGTCCGGGAGCTGTTCGCTGTTTTGTCACTTGTCACGGTTGTGCACTCATCGCTGTAACATAAAATAATGAGGCGGGTGCGGAAAACTAAAATTTTCTTTCTCAAAGCACAACCACCGGCACCGGCAAGGAGAAACGCACGTTCTCTGACTACATGACTGAACAATACGACTGATACGAGTGTAGTACATGACAAGTCCGTGTGTTGACTAGTTTTCTGAGTCTTGTGTCAGTTGTGACTCGAGTCTTGTACATACTACCCCAGCACGGCAGTGCGGGAGTAGTTCCGTCTGTGATGAGTTTGTTGACTGCACTACAGCTAGATAACACACTGCACGCACTGCATGCACGCAGCGCAGAGCGCGTAGACGGTAGAGGCTGACGGAAAAGTCCAACTCGGAAACGGCTATAATACGGTATAACCTCCAGGGTTACCGAGCTGAAAATCACAGGGTACGTAGTGTTTGTAACACTGAATCGAATGGTCTTGGTCCGAAGAAGCTGCGACAAACGGTTCCCCAATCGAATGTGCTCCGAATATGGCCATTTTTGTACACAACTAGATGGTGTGGCTACCTGGCTGCACGCTGTGACGTCATCACCTGGATCTGGGTGATGCGCGCTCAAATTCGCACATGTTCGATTGGGCGTATCTGACGAACCATAAGCCGCAGCCTCCTCGGACAAAGACCATTCGACTCAGCGACCCGAACTCTACGGACTGTGAAATTTAAATTTTTCACCGGACTTCCCCTTTAACGCATAACTTGTGCCCCACCGTTTTCCTTGTTTCCAAAAGAAAAGAAAAAAGAATAACCACAAACTCGTCCATAATGTTGCACAGCTGGTTACCAGTAGCTTCTGTCACGTGCACACCGACTACTACTACTAGTACATGTACGCAGCCGCCCATTTGTGAACTCACCAGCTGGTAAACAGCCGCATAAGCTCTCCACTGCAGGGTATCTCACATAGATCCCCTCAGATAGATAGATCCCATAGTGGGTTTTAACCAGGAAAAATAATGTTCTCTTTTCAGCACACCTCCAACTCACAACACACAAAGTCCTCAGCTGCACCACATACACAGATTGTTTCCACATTCTCACCCAGGAGGGCATCATCAAACGAATACTAACGTTGTGCTGAGGATTCACTGTACACTGTATTTGTACGGTGATCACAGGCCACCGGTGGTCTGGGATAGCAAGGACAACCAGCAATGAGCGCATCATACACCCCCCCCCCCCCCCCCACACACACACACACACACATGCACTGACTGTGCGCACTGCAGTGGTGGGGTTCCGAAGACCATGGGACTTTCCCCCCTCGCGGGAGCAGATACATGAAATATGAGGCTGAGACTAGGGGGAGTCGTGATGATTGGCTAGATAGAGGTGATAAACTAACATTTAAACTAACTTACATGATAAGGAATGACTACAATCATACACCACCACCACCACCCACTATGGCACACTGTCTGTGTGAGACCCAGTCTGATCCTGCCGCTTTGATGCTCACCATGCAGCCTATCGCACACTGCCAGTTGAAACGTTTGGTCGTCAGGCGGGACGTGGCACCCCACCTATATCTTTCGGCCACGGCCAAATGGAGACGGTTGGCAGGTATGGTCAGGCCAGGCACTCCTATCTCTCTTGTCCAGGTGGTTCGGAAAGGGACTGCCCACTTCGAAATATCCATAACTCTGGATCAATTTGGGAAGGGCCAGAGATATCGTGCATATTACCTCACTAACAGCTAAGAGAACACGAGTGTCTACAATTCAAAAAGCGTCGACCACCATCTTGACAAAATGGCGACGGCCGCGAAGGCCAGGGTTTGTGCAGTCATAGCGGCTACGCACCCGAGTTCATGCTGATCAATGTACAGCGATGTGAAGTCGAGTCGTAAAATACCGGTATTTTACGACTCCCTGGTCGAGTCTGTACAGAGCAGGGCCAGTACCGAAACGAATCTTGTTGTTTGATGCCGGGAAAGACACGCGGAGAAGACTACTTCAGAAGCTTAGTTGTATGTAATTTTTTGCAACATGTTCTTCGCATTCGAGGTATTTCTTAACCCAACATTCTTCAGTATGGATCTATACATCCGTGCTCCGGACAATGTCCGTATTAAGCAAGAGTATGTCTTATCCGAGTACGTACTAAGTGAGTTCAACTACGTCCCTATCTAGTGACCAGTAAGCATTTTCAACTAAAAAAATAGTTACTTCTCTGTTTGCAGTGGTCGTTCGGGCTCGATAATGGTGATGCAGCACAAGACAGGCGTATTGCTGAATTATTTCCTTCAGATATCTCCAGCAATCTCTTTCGTCTTGTTCGAAGAAGGCATGCTCCGATACATTGCAAGTACGCCCTTCGCCGCCGCAGCTGCCATTGCTGTCGAACGTGAAAGCGAGTCGGGGACGAACTCTGGGGGTCTTTTATCTCCGCGATTTCGAAACGATGTTCGCGGTCTGGGCTGACGTGAAAGAACTAATACTTGGCAGACCCATTGATTCAGAGATAAGCTTGCCGCGCAACTTTCCTGCTCAGTAGCAAGCACACACGCGCAAGCCATGCTCCTCGGACACAGACTCAGTCACTGGTGCAAGGGCATCGTCACAGACTGGAGCAGCACCTAATGGCAGAGAGACAATGACTTTGTCTTTAATAGTGAGCTCAAAATAATTCATCTCGCTTTCACCATGTTCACCAACACCAGCTGCCGCATGCGCGCACCGAGCCTCTCCGAACAAAAATTGCATTTCAGGTCGCAAAGCACACATTGACCGTATCCGAGTAGTGCACAGTAGATCTACGGAAAAAAAATAATTGAAATAATTATTACGGCCTTAGGGAGCATGCACTCTACCGTCTAGCTATGCTCTATTACTATAAGCGAATTACATGTATAACAACCAACCATTTGAGGCGAGTGAAAGTAGCAAATCACACACTTCACTCATTCGGACATTCCCTTCTCGCAGTTCCAGCGCCCAGCGTTCGCAAGAAACGGCTTCCATATCTCGCACGATGCTGCAAACACAGGCCTGCGAAGAAATCCCTCTTCGATGCACCATGTAATCTTGGGAGATCTCACTCCACCGGGCAGGGGTCCTGGACGCTACAGCAAACCGCCGACCCGGCGACAGGACATGCATGCAACGCGTCTCTACAATGAAAACCTCGCCACCCACACATCACACCGCACACCATGCTGCGTCGTGTTTGGCCGCTTACCTTGAGCAGAGCAGGCAGGAGCAAGCAAGGCCAGGGAGAGTACGCTTAGCAGCACGCTAAACACTTCCATCGTCACCTATCGATCGCCAACGTCCAACGCTCCGCTCCCGATGTTGCTCAGTTTCGACAACGCAGCCGAGCAGACGAGAGAAACTGAAGGAATCGTGTATTCCGTAGTACGCACAACTGCGACGCTGATACTCGTACTCGCAAGCCCAGTTGTACACTGAGATCCTATCAGACGGAATGGAAATTTTATTTCCCCCAAAACTGCAAAAGCCAGGCCGGAATGCTGCAGCTAGCTTTGGCTCTCCGAGATCGATTGCTTCCCTCCACGGGAAGACAACTACTGAACTAGCGTATCGGCAAAGCCAGCCCTGATTTTATCTTTCCAATGACTGGGACCTCTGCACTGCATGCCAACCAGACCTCACTCATGCACGCTATGATCTACACGCGCACATCTCACGCGTAGCGGGAAGCCTGCCGTAGATCTACTCACTCGCTAACGCTACGCTTCAAATATCAAAGGCACGCCGAACTACCAGTCGATGCAGTGATGGTATGTCTGCCTCGGGCCAGTCGGGGCGCGCACTGTCGGACAAGGGGAGGTCCTGCGAGACAGATGATTGGTAACGTAGGCTGTACTTCAGCCGACCCCTATCCCCGTCAAGTGTCACCAGGTCACTGCCTGCACTTGCAGTTGCACCAAGGCAAGAGTGTCTAGTTTGTGAGTGTGAACACTTACAATGACTATGTAAGTGTTCATGGTGAAAGACGATCCGAAAAACTCCCAGTCCGACTGTTGCGGTGCAGAGACTCAGTGCATGGATGCCTTGTACTTGTAGATCGACGACGACACGACAAAACCAACATCAACGAACTACGGACTCAGTAGTATAAACAAAACAAGGTTTATCTACAATCATAATCAATGTACATAGTTCTACATGTACATGCTCTCTGTACTCCGAGCATCACGCACCGTGCATGACACGGTAGATGTCCAAAAACACAGCAAAATACAGAAAAACGGAAGTCCGAGAACGCCACAAAACAGATCCGGACCCAGAGGCAGAGGCCAGTGCACATGGTGCATGCAGGCCGGTAGGCATTTTTGTGCGCTCGGAGTCGGAGTTCTGATTTTCCGTCGCAGCGTTTTGCGCACTACTTTAGTACTTGGCATTACATCATTTTTATACATTTTACTACCGCTCATCACTGCACTCCCTAGGCGCTAGCATAATAATAGCTAGGCCCTAGTTTTTTACTATACTACTTCAGAAGTAGTGCTATTACTACATGCAGTACCCAAGAGTGCTCTTTCTATACCCAAGCAGTCACATATTCATACTGTACATGTACAAAGGCACAGATCCCTTGGCTTGGGTGATGAGAAACGCCCAGTACAGTGGTGTCGAATGCTAGAACTACTTACTAAGAAGGCGATAAAGTACCTCCCCATGGCATGGGCGTTTCAGGTTTCAGGTTTTCGCAGTAATTGCTTGACAATAGAATGACCACAACGATCTGTGCAGTTCGAATACTGAGTACTCATTCGCCATCTGGGCTGATTATGGGTTCGAGGTTTGGTAAACGAACTGGTAAACGAACTCAGTGGAAAACCTCAAGTATCGGGTGCTAGCTTCTGCTCATTTTATTTTTTAGGTCGAGTG